GGATACAGGATAAAGCTCAAGTAAGCCTGAGTAGGCCATATGTATAAACCAAACCAAAATTGCATTATCATGTAACATCGTGTCTGTAATTTTAATTTGAGAAGTGGTAAGGTAACTTTGTCTGACCCGAGGAAAGGCAGAGGATTTGTCTTGACGTTTCTACAGGAAAGAGGCCTAAATTTACCTGAAAAAAAGTTAAATTCACTCAGTGGTGAATCTTTAAAGTTTGCCTTTTACAATTTCATGATAAACCTAAAGACTTAGCATTCCTTTAAAGGAAGTATAGGTTCCACTAATTTGCATTCCTGATTGTTTAGGATCAACCTTTGTAAAGAAATGAGAATGTGGTGGATCTGCGGTGGAAATGGTCTCCAGCTACAAGCACTTGGGTGTGCACCTGAATGACAACCTCAGCTGGGGCAACAACACCACCAGCCTGATCAAGAAAGCTCATCAGAGACTCTACTTGACGGCTGAGGTGAGCTGGTCTGGGAAGCTCAGTCCTCACCTCCTTCTACAGGTGTGCAGTAGAGAGCATCCTGCTCCAGCATTAACGTGTGGCATGGAGGCTGCACAGCTTCAGAAAGAAAAGCTTTGCAGAAAGTGGTGAAGGCTGCACAGAAGTCTGTTGGAGTCAGCCTCCCCACCGTCACAGACATTTACACCTCTAGATGCAGGAAGAGAGCCACCTGCATCATGAAGGACCACACTCACCCAGCACACACACCTTTTGCCCGCTCCCCTCAGGAAGGAGGTTGAGGAGCATTAAGTGTAGAACCACCAGACTGAGGAACAGCTTCTACCCTGAAGCTGTTAGACTCATGAATCTCTAATCAGGATAATCATCGTGAAAAAATATCACATCATGTTGCTGCTGATCTGCTTCATGCTGCTGTGTTCATGCGTGCTCCTCTGCTCACACAGACTCATGTTCGTGCTGCTGTTCGAAGTATTGTTTTTATTGTTCTTGTGCTATTACTGCTTGGCATATTTTTAGCTGATGTTTTTCTTAGTTCAAATGTTAGATCTTATGACTGTTTTTTCTTTTACATTTTATTGTTGGATGTAACTGGAACCCTGAGTACACAATCTCGTTCCACCACATGTACCACATGTGGTGCGAATGACAAATAAAGAAACTCTGACTCTGAGTTCAAACAGTTTTTGTTAAACCTTGAAAATAACATTATGTTTATGTGATAGTTCTGAGTAATGTACTTGTTGTGAATGATTCTTAACTTGGACGACAACTTTTACCCCAATATCAATAAAAGTGACTGTTATAGCCAACACCCACGCCCCGCCCACCCCCATCTTATATGAGGTTTACACAAACAGACATAGAGAAAAAAAAAAACAGGCGTAGGCAGACAGTAATACAATGGCTCTACCACACCATTATACTCAGTTTCTGATGCAAACTAAAGCACATAAAGAAATAATGCAGACATAAAGGGCTCAGAACATGCTCAACAAACTGCATGGAGGTCAGGAAACAACAACACAGTTGGAGCAATAATTTGTTGGTGGCACAAAGGGATGTAGAAACCTGAATTAGAAAGCAGTAATCAGAAGGTAAAGGGAGACAGGAGATTAATGAGTGGACAATGAGTCAGTGAGGAAGGCCATTATTTACTGGGAGAAAGACACTGAGGGGAGAAGAGGCAGATAGAGTAGGGCGGAGAAAGACAAAGAGAAGGGAATAAAGGAGGTAAAGAAAAAAAAAGAAAAATAACAAGACAGAGGCTTGAAAGAGAAATATGTAATAAGCAGTGTGCTCAATTTATATATATATATATATATATATATAT